AAAATCAAATGTTTACGTTTGAATTCGTTAAAAACAACTTTAAAAAACGAAATTAAAGCAGCGGCGTCACTGTTTCCATGGCAACAAAAGATGTCATTGATTGAAGTAATTGATTTTCTTGGAATTCTATCATGAATCAGTGTTTGTGGTTTCCCAGGTGACGGGAATCCTGAGCTGGATCGTTCGTTCCTGGACCGACGTGGAGAACAACATCGTGTCTGTGGAGCGAGTGAAGGAGTACGAGGACACACCCAAAGAGGTTCGCTGCTGCACAAACACCCCCCAGGGTTCATATAGAGTTATCTATATATCCTATCTATGTTTATATAATATGTGTTTGTACTGTATATATTAAAGTGTAATCTGATTTCTGATACTGAGTTAATCCAGTCATTGATTGAACGTCTCCTTCATTCATTCGTTATTCATCTCTTCTTTACTGATGTTGTTAAACTGAGATAATGACCTCATGTGTTAGGCGGCCTGGACCCTGGAGGACAGTTTGCTGCCGGCGGAGTGGCCGACCACGGGAACCATCGAGTTTGAAGATTATGGACTTAAGTACCGGAAAGATCTGGACTGGGCCTTAAAGAACATTTCCATCAACATCCAGAACAGAGAGAAGGTCAGGAGAGAAAACTGTGTTCAAAACTTTGTGTCTGTAAAATACTTCTTCTTCTTTAATACTGTTTTTGGTTTGTCAGGTCGGGATCGTTGGAAGAACAGGAGCCGGAAAATCGTCTCTTGCTTTGGGAATCTTCAGGATTCTGGAGGCGGCGAGCGGACGAATCGTTATCGATGGAATCAACATCGCTCATTTGGGCCTCCAGGATCTCAGATCCAGAATCACCATCATTCCTCAGGTCAGCGCTCCGCACTCTGAAGGTCTACCTAATCTAAACTAACCAAACCTTAACCTAAACTAAACCAACCACAGCTCAACCTCAACCTTCTGTTTCCAGGACCCGGTGTTGTTTTCTGGGTCTCTGAGGATGAACCTCGACCCGTTCGACACCTGTTCAGAAGACGATCTGTGGAAAGCTCTGGAACTCGCTCATCTTCGCAGCTTCGTGTTGGAACTGCCTCAGAAACTCGACCATCAGTGCAGTGAAGGAGGAGAGAACCTGAGGTGAACCCACCGACGACACACTGCGGGAAGTTTACCCGACTAACCCGTCACTGATGTGACACCGGAGTAAAACCCCAACACCAGGGGGCGATGTTACCTGTATTTGTGTTACTAACATCGAAACTAAAGATGTGTCTCAATTCAGGAGGCGGTCCTCGAGGGCCACGTAGACAACGAAGACCAAACCCGAACGAGATCAGATGCAGCTTCTGACCTGAGATTGAAACAGTGACTGAAACGAGAGCTCTGTGTGTTTCAGTCTGGGTCAGCGGCAGCTCCTGTGTTTGGCTCGAGCTCTGCTCCGGAAAACCAGGATCCTGGTTTTGGATGAAGCGACGGCTGCTGTCGACCTGAAGACGGATCAGCTGATCCAGTCCACCATCCGCAGTCAGTTCGATGACTGCACAGTTCTGACCATCGCTCACCGCCTCAACACCATCATGGACTACACAAGGTATCAGACACAACTTCCTGCGTTCAGCTCACTGCACCAAGCGTTTTCAACAAGTCCAGACTTTGTCCAGAGTTCTTCTTTCAGGTGGAGCAGCAGACAGATGTCACGTGTCCATCCAGCTGTGGACATCTTTTGTTTATGTCTTTCTATCATCTCCATTTCTTTCTTCACACTTGTTTGACTCGTCAGACTCGACTTGTGTCTGAGTCGTGTCCCTCGTGAGTCGTTGTCCTTGATGAGACTTTTTCGTCTGACGTGTCTCTTGTCGTCTGTCCTCAGGGTCATTGTGATGGACAGAGGCTCCATTGCAGAGATGGACTCTCCCGCTCAGCTCGTCCACCTTCAGGGTCTTTTCTATCAGATGTGTGTGGAGGCTGGTTTGGTTTGAACCTCTGAAGAAGAACTGCTGAGACAAACGTCCTCCTCCTGTGTGTAAAGACAAATTCAAGACAAAGCTGGACTCATGTTGGCGTTAGGGTTGGGGGGGGGGGTTTGATATCTATGTTTGTGTTTTTATGTACGTGCTTTTCCATATTATTTATTAATTAACTAATGATTTGTTTTTACTGTGTTTCAAATTAACTTGAATAAAATATTTAAATGAAATAAATAGAATCAGTCATCAAACCTGGAGCCTGAGTCATTTCCAGGTCTGTTAGGAAGTGAAAGAGAAGAATGTCTACGAGGAAAATCACAGGGAGACGTGGAAATGTTGGATTAAATGATTCAGTGTCATTTACTTTGCATTTAATCCGTTTAAATCTCCTGCTGCTCCTCCTCTGTTCAGACTCCTCCAGCTCCTCTGTCTCCACCTGCAGCTCCTTCAACCTCCTCCGATCCCTTTTCACCTCTGCAGGAGATTCACACGCAGAGAAACTCAGGAGCATAAAGATGTTGAGCGGAGCGGTTGATGTCTTTTCTTCATCGGCCGGGAGACGGAGCAGCAGGAGATGGTTCAGGATCTCTGTGTCCAATCGGAACAGCAGATTTACACCGGTTGTTTCCTGTGGATGAGAATAACAAAGGGGAGATTACCGTCTGATTAGCGTGGGATTAATTGAAGAATAAAACCCTCTGCTGCTCAACAAAACACCCGACATCGTCCTCTTGTTCTCCTCTTCAGTTACGCAGCTTTAGCTTTGTTTGACCCGGAGATTAAACCGCAGCTCCAACAATTACAACTTTACTACGAATGAGAGAAACCTTCCAGCGTTTCACTGACCTGAGTTCAAAACAACACTTTAGTTTGAGCTCGGTCAGTTTCAGGCTTTGGTTCCAGGAACGTAAAGTTTATTTTCAGTTTATTGCTGTAACAAAATAACTTCATGTGTATGATGCATATCCCATTTAAATTTTCTAATTTATTTCATTTTATACTTTCATGTGTTTTCTTGTTGCAGCTGAATTTGACAGGATGAATAAATGTTTCTTATCTTAAGTTTCATGACGTGATGTTTTAATTTACAACATACAAACTTGTCACGTGACAATGTTTCACTTTATTTTATCACATAACATAAAACTTATGTTATAACGAGATAATGATTGAAACACAAAACGCTTCACATCGTCTGATAAATTACTATATTGTAATAACACAAAACTACTGATTTGAGATTTGTTGAGCTGATGAACATGGTTCATTTATAGGATCGGATTCTACTTCACGCTTTACTTGAGATGTAGTTTGTGACGTTCTTCCTCCAGCTGCTTTTAGATTGAACTAATTCGAGTCATTTTCTTTTCACCACACGTGAAGAAGTTTGTGATACAAACAATCAAATGTGGAAATTATTTATTTCTTGGAAAGAAAAAGTAAATAACTTTTTAACCCTCATTGTTTGTCACAGGGATTTAGGATAATTAGTCTTGATATAATATGTGATGGCAGGTCAGCAGATCAACAGCTGGAGTGTTTGTCTAGGGCGGTGGTTCTTAATGGGGGGGGCACCGGGGGGGAGGGGTTGACCAGGGTTTATATGGAGGGATATTAAATTGAATGAATATAAGTTATGAAGAGAAAATCCTCAGGTTTGTGGAGGTGATGATGTGCTGACTTTTATTTCACAAGTTTCTCGCCCTAGGATGGAAGTTTTTTTTTGGGGGGGGGGGCTGATTCTTAGTTGTGAAAGAGGAGGAGGAAGATTCCAGAAAACGTTTAAGATAAGAGAGAAGCTGATAATCAATTTAAAGCTCGTCAATAAAGTCTGGAGATAAGAGACGTAGAGAAAACAGAACACAGCTCCCACTGAAAATACCAAGAGATAAAACACAGAGTGACGGAGCGAGGAGGCGGAGAAGAGCCTGAACATTTTATTCTTTATGGTCCCTCTGAAAAATGAGCTCGATGCTGCTGCAGCACAACAATAGTTTACTTTAATAAACACAGAGTGAGAAACATGTTCGTACAAAAGTCACATCAGCTCAGTTTTGTGCAAACGAGACAGAAAACACAAAGTTCAGTGGAATAAACTCTGCGTCTTCTTTATTACAAAGAAATAAAAAATCTGCTGATTTTCACAGATCCTAGGATGAAAAAACAAAAAACATATTTTTCATAAAAATCTTATGTACAAGTTCCTACACACACACACACACACACACACACACACTCACAAATCTGGATTTAAGATCTTTCCTTTGATTTCTAAAAGGAACTGAACTTTGGTAAATTCATTTAAATTCTTTTCCTCTTCGATAAGATCTCAACACGTGTTTTGATGGATAATCTAAAGGTTTTAGTTTTGTGCAGAAGACTCGTATTGTCTCAGAATGTCATGGAAATTATTCTTCAGGATAATTGAGAGTGAAATGTCGTCAACATCTTCCCTTGTCCTGAGCTGGAACATCTGGACCACGTCAAATCAAACTGTTTGGTGAAATCCACCTTTTCAAACAGCTCAGTGTTCAAAATAAATCCTCGAGTTTCCCTCCTGCTTCCTAAACCATCAGAGGAAGACCAGCAGAGGAAGAAGCAGCGTCACAAACAGGAAGCAGGAAGCGTTGGGAACTGTCCTGACAGCTGATGAGCGATACCAACGCACCTCCTCCGAGTCATCTGCAAAAAGACGTGTTCAGAATTCAGTGAATCATTTTTAATAAATCCACAATTTAATATGAATCCTCTGTTATAATGTCCGTGGATCATAAATGTTTGTTTTTCTTGGTGGTGATTCATCTTTGATAAGGACTGAGAGGACAGAGAGGACAGAGAGGACAGAGAGGACAGAGAGAACAGAGGGGACAGAGGAGACAGAGAGAACAGAGAGGACAGAGAGGACAGAGAGAACAGAGAGGACAGAGAGAACAGAGAGGACAGAGAAGAGAGAGGACAGAGGGGACAGAGGAGACAGAGGGGACAGAGAGGCGGGTCTTGGTTTGGTCATGGTATGTGGTCTGTGATTCTTCTGTGTGTGGGTTGAAATCATTTACATGTTGGAATAAATCCTGAATTGCAGATGAGCAGGCGCGGCCTCCGGTCATTCACAGTCATGTATCACACACACAGCTTCACTGAGAACAACAGGGCGGGGGTGTGTGTGTGTGTGTGTGTGTGTGTGTGTGTGTGTGTGTATGTGTGTGGGGGGGGGGTTTCAAGGTTGAAAAGTGTGAACGAGTTTCAGAACAGACGTCTGACTGCTGCTGGGTGTGTGGGCATCGAACACACGTCAGTGACAAAGACAAGAAGAGCTGCTTCCATTCATCTGTAGAACACCTGGAAGGCTCCTGTGCACGTTTCTAATGTGTGTGTGGGTGTGTGTGTGTGTGCACGTGTCTTACCACAGTCTTTATGGAAGACGTGGGGGAAGCAGTGCAGGACGCCGTAACCACAGCGACAGTAGGAGCATCCTTTCTGAACCCACTCACCATGAGGAATCAAACCACAGCTCCTGCAGAGACACGGACAACAGAGTTCCCATCATGCTTTGGGTGACACCACCAACAGCTCTGTTTTCATAGTTTTTATAATCTGAAGAAATCAGCTGATTGAATGACGAGTGAACGACTCCTCCGGCCTCCTCACTGACTGTTCTGGTTTCTTGTACCTGATGCGTTGGTCGTACTCGCAGCTCCTCCCGGTGAAGAACTGCGGGCAGGCGCAGAAACTGCCCAGGATACACGTTCCTCCGTTTTTACAGCAGCTGCGGCTCTGCTCAGCGCCTGCACGGGAAAAAAAACCACGAGGCGACGTCAGACCCAGAAACAACCAAACATCCACGATCCTTCACACTGTGACTAAACACATGAATCTTACAACCTCATCCAGTGTTTGTTGAACCTCCTGAGACACAACCTCCGTCTGATTCGTTTCATTCAATCACGTTTCTATTAAATTATCTTTCTTCCTGTTTTACTCAGGATGAGTTTTATTTATAGTTTAGTTTTATTTATAGTTTAGTTTTGAGGAAATTGACTATTTGTGCCAGTAAAAAGGTTTTTATCACTTTTAAATGATCTTCGTGTCTTTTAATTTGTGCGTCAGGTCTTTATGTCCCTGTGAGATGATCTAAGGGCCCCGGCTCGGCCCTCAGACCTCAGGTTGGGCCCCTCTCTGTCTGTATCTGTGAGATAAACCAGGCTCTCCATCTGGCAGCACATTCCTGTTCTCCTCTGCTTCACATCAGCAGACAAACACAAACCAGAGTCAGAACAAACGTCGGAAAGTAACGAAACAACACTAAAACTAAAGTGACGACGGACGGAAACTTCCACAGACTCTTCATCCGTCCGATCTGTCCATCACACACTTTCAAAATAAAATAAAATAACGGGCAAATAGGTCAAATCTAAATTGTAATTTAACCAAAGTTTAATTGTAAGAATAAAACCCAGCTCTGTCTGACTGCAACAAGGATTCTATAAAACCACAGAGACCTGGATGTTCAGTAGAAATGTGATTTAACTGCAGTTTATGTGCGTCAGTTTGTTTTTCTGTGAATTTTCTGTTCTGCTCTGAAACTTATTCCAGCGGAAACTTCACCGATTCTCTGAAGCTGAGCTCAGAGTCGGGTGGCGAGGAAACATTCTCAGTATTTTGGGCTCAAGTGTCAAATTGTTGTGTTCATTGGTTTTTGGGGCTCATCACCCCTGTGTGTGTGTGTGTGTGTGTGTGTGTGTGTGTGTTCAGTACAGATGTGTGAACTCACTGCCTGTGAGGCCGATGAAGGGCAGGACGGCGCTGGCGTCACGGTGTTTACGGTCCCCTCCACTGTTTGGGGAGCTCACCTGAGTAAACTGACTCAAGAAGTCCTGAGAGGGCTGCTGGAGTTTCACCACCGAAGAAGAAGATGAAGAAGATGAAGGAGATGAAGGAGGAGGAGGAGGTGGTGGATCTTTTTCACATTTGTCTCCTTCACAACCTGAAAAATAAGATAAACACCAGTTAATGACAATCACTGTAAAACAGAGGAAACTAAAACAGATACTGGACAGAGACAAAGATTTACAAAGAGAAATCACAGACATTCAGTATCAGTTTGTTTGTTGATATAAAACATTTTACAGAATAAACTAAAAAGGAAGATTTACATTTCAGTTTATATTGCACATCCTGAATTAAGTGTTTATACATTTGTATTTGTGTTTTTAAATTTAAAACTGTTTCTGCACAGTAGAAAATCAGTGGACAGATTCCTGAACCTGGTTTAATAATCATCGGACTGAGCTCACGCTGCTTTAGTTACTTACTGTTGAAGGTACTTTCCTCCATATTCAGCAGGTTTTTAAACTACATTTCTGTGTAAACGTAAAGTGGCTGAAGGCTCCATGTTCAAATGTACTTCAAACTAACTGTGACACATCCACTGAAAGTAATTCACAGTGTCTTCTAATTATTATTTCATCCAGTTCACAGCAAAATAAAACTCTGGACTCCTCTGGTTTAAATCAGGTTTTGAATACAGAAGAAGAACCATAAAAATACAGAGACACTTTCATTAAAAAGGAGTTTTCAGGAGAAGCAGTGAGGAGCTGACCTGAAGCAGCAGCAGCAGCAGCAGCACAGTGGAGCGAGAGCAGCAAACACACAAACCTCCTGTAAACACACATTCAGCTCATTTAGACTAAAATCACTTCAACTCAACACGTTTCAGTCGAATGTTCTCCAGACTCACCTGAGCAGCTGATTCCAAACCATTTTACCAGAGACAGGAACTCTTCCTCCACAGATACAAGTTAATATGACAAACTGCGGAGGAGCAGCAGAGGAGCAGCTGAGGAGTGAAGGAGGAGGTGAACCAGGAGCTCTGCAGACTCTCACTGATTCATTCACAAATACTCAGGTGGTTCTCACACAGGAAGCCACGCCCACTCCCAGGACTGTTTCCGTCTGTCTCCAACACACACACACACACACACAAACACACACACACACACACACACACACACACTTCAGACAATAACATCGATGTGACGAGATATTTAAACCGGTTTCATTTAAAAAGCTGATTATTTATGAAATATTTCTCGTGAACTTAATAAAACCTGAGACCTTCGTGATGTTTTCTCAAAGTGAAGTGATTTAACTTTAACTTTGTGGAAGAGTTGGAATTTAAACTTTGACGTGCTGAAGTTTCGCTGAGGTAACGTGTGCAGAGGGAAACATGGAGGTTGTTGTTTCTGCAGTGAAGTGAAGGAGGAGCTGTTTCCTGCAGAGTCATTAACATGTGAAGGGCGAGCGAGCTTCATATACATGTGTATCAGGAGAGAGAGAGAGAGAGAGGGGGGGGGGATGTTTTCTTCTTTTATACATTAATGTCCGTCCTGACAAAAACTTCTAAACACGTCATCACTTGAATTTAATTGAAATTAAATTTACTGTGAGATGCAACATAAAAAAAATCAAATTCTAAAATCAATGATTTCTAAAATAACAAAATCTGAAACCAAACTGTTCAGTGTGTGTGTGTGTGTGTGTGTGTGTTTTATTTGGGACATGTCACAAACCTAAATCTAATAAACATGGTGCATATTGTAAAGAATGGTCAATATTTAAACCTATGAAAACTAATTTCTTTCTGTAGTTTCTTGATTATTCCACATTTGTCCTGAAATTAAGTTTTATAATCTTGAACTTGTTTCTTTAAAACATATTTGAAAGAATTGAAAAAACCCAAAGTAAATGTATTTGAACTTCCTCCTCGTGCAGTAAAACACCAGAACTCAGTCTGATGCAACACCAGGTTTTCTCCAACCTGTTTTTAAATTAACTCCGAAAAGTCCACATTGTCTTATTCATTCCTTCAGAACTTGGAAAAGTTTAATTTAAAAACTTTTGTAATTCAGACCCCCCCCCCCCCAGTCTGAGGTGGAAATGGGTGTTTTGTGATTGTGCAGCATCACAATGAAGTCTGGTCTCATGCTAATACACAGCAGGAGACTCAGCAGCAGGAGGGAGAGGCTGACCTCTGCAAGAGACACAGGGAGACCCCTGCAGGCCGCAGAGGGAACAGACACATGTACACATGCATGCTTCACTGTTCATTACGATAAAGTTCCAAAACATAAAAACCACAAAGTGTATTTTCATGTTTTGGTTTATTTGCAGTTTTAACAAAAACCAGTAACAGTTTCCTACTGCTCCCAGTCTTTATGCTAAGCTAGGCTAACAACATCCTGCCACGCCAAAGAAATAAACCAAACAAAAATTCTTCCAACTTATTTTACTGGAACCGTCAAACCTCTGACTTCTGGAATAAATGAAACTCAGAAGTTTCCACCGAACCGTCTCACATCCCTGTGAAACAAGTACAATCAGTCAAAAGTTAAAAACAAGGCAGACCGTTTAGTTTGTGGTTTTATAATTTTAATACACGTTTGAGATTCTGTATTTTTATGTGATCTTCTAACGACAAAGCAGTAAAAATGCAAACACTGATTTCTTTACTTCACTGTACACTGTTCAGATTTATTTTCTTCAGCATCATCTCACAGATGCTTCATTTTCCCAGACTGACCAAACCAACTATTCATTTCTCTTTCTTTTTTTTTACAGGATAGAAATTTACTAGCTAAGCGATGGACGAACGTTAGCTAACGTTAACATTCGGGGACAATTGGGAATCAGCTTCAGTGATGTAAGAAACAAAATGGACTCCGGGTGTCCACACAATAAATAATGTGACTGACTGATGAGCAGGTTTTATTCTCTTCTCTTCTTTAACCTTCGTCCTGCAAACCGTTCCAGCCTCGTGGGGAGGAAACCTATTGTTGTCATGGTGACGACAGCAGCGTCACCAAGCATCGGACACGCCCATGTCAAAGCGCGGGAGTCCAGCGTAACTCGAGCTCTTTTTCGTTTTTTCATGCAAACAACTGAACACAAGTGTCGACTCTGACGTCACCGCCGGTTTGTCGCGTTGCGCAGCGCCATCTTGGTTTCTTTGAAACCGGAAGTAACCATATTTGGAGGAGCGAGAGGTGGAGCCTGAGAGCTATAGGACACGCCCACCTACGCCTCTCCTCCCTCCTTTGCTGAAGTCTTCATCGTCTTCCAGCTGAGGGTCCATTCGCTCTTCGTCAAGCCGTCGTCTCCGTGCATCTGTCCCTCGTGTCTCCGGCGTTCGGTGGAGAAACACGTCACCTCGTCCTCGTCCGGCTTCTTCCAGCGACAAATCCTCCACGACTCTTTCCAGGCCCACCAATCCTCCTCCTTTTCCTCCTCCCTCTCCTCCTCCTCCTCCTCACTCACATCTCCTCCCCTGTGAGCCACTGCCACCATCCACGACTTCCTCCAGGAGGAGAAGGAGGTGTGGAGCTTATGGAACTGCAGATGCAGCGGGACGTCAGGTTTCTGTTTACACAACTTCTGTCCTTCCTCTGCTTCTTTATTGTCTTCTGCTCCGTCCTCCTCCTCCTTCTCCTCCTTCTCCTCCTCCTCCTCCTCCTCCTCCTCCACTTCTTCATTGTGCTCTTCTGCATCGTCTTCTTTCTCCTGATCTTTGTCCTCTTCCTCTTCCTCTTCTATGTCTTCATCCTCCTCTTTCTCTTCAAGGACATTACCCTCCTCTTCATCCTTTTCATTTTTCATTTCATCTGCTTTGACCTCCTCCTCTACAGATTCTTCGTCTTCCTCCTCCTCTTCTTCCTCCTCCTCCTTCTCCTCCTCTTCCTTGTGTATTTCACCCTCTTCTATGTTATCTTTCTTTTCCTGTTCTTTTCCTAGTTCTTCTTCCTCCTTCTCATCTACCTCTTCATCACCCTTGTCTGCTTCTTCAGCTTCTTTGTCCTCTTCCTCTACCTCTTTTTCCGTTTCCTCAGTTTCCTCCTCTTCTTTGTCTTTCTTCACTTCAACCTCCTCTGGTTTTTCATTTGGCACTTCTTCCTCCTCCTCCTCCTCCTCCTCCTCCTCCACTTCTTCTTCTTCATCCTCCTCCTCTTCATCTGTCTTTTCCTCCTCTTGCATTTCATTGTCCTCAACCTTCTTGTTTACTTCTTCGTCTTCACCCTTTCCTTTGTTTATTTCCTTGTCCTCCTCCTCATCTTCATCTTCCTCCTCCTCTTCATCCTTTCCTTTGTTT